AAAGTGAACGAGATAATAACCAAAAAGAGGAGACACATGTAAGTACAGACTGTTTATATTCACCTCTCACCCTTCCAAATCGTTCCAACCAATCACCACTGAGGCCCAGTCTGTCGTAACCAATCACTGGACACACAAAGTTCATCCACTTCCTGTAACACTAACCTAACATTCCAGCAGGTAAACTATGGCAGTCGCCTCTAAATGGACAATTAGCCAAGATTAAAGGCAGGCTCCTCGTCTTTCTCCATTAACTTAATTAGGAGGAAAAGACATCTCGAATGACCCCCTGCTCTTTCCAGCCTTCCCTCCCATTCTCATTCTTCTCTCTCTGCAGCGTCTTTTCCCCTGGCTTAACTCGTATATTGTATTTACAGTAACTGTGGAGAGTTAAGACCACACTTTCACATCTGGGAGAATCACTGAAGCATTTGGAGATAAACTGCTTCACACAAGAGTAACCTAATGGTGCTGAAGAAAATATCTCATTACCATCCAGTCATCAGTGCAGGGATTTAAAGTGGGAACCTTCCATGCCATGATTTGTTGATCATTAGAGTCATCCGGGCGATTTTTCTCTCTTTTAACCTTGCTTCATTGAATTTTACTCTTCCACAGCTCTGGTTTCCCCCCTCTTGTTTAGCTAAACCTTTATAGGTATTTTTGTAATGCAAATTGGTAAACACCCAGTGAACATGTAGGGATGAAGCATTCTGAAGGACAAGTGGATTGGATAAAATTCCTTACCGGCCTCCCTCTGGACATCAACTAAATTTCCTTCTTTCTATTAAGCCTCCAAAAGATCCTTTTAGTCTGAATGTTTGGCTGCTGATATCCTGCTGTAATGCAGTTTATGGGGTGCAGTAAGGAGAATGACGGAGCCCAGCAGCAGTGCTCCGTCAGCAGACAGCAGAATGAAGCTGCTTAACACTGCAGCTGGGATTTTACTTGGATGTGTAGTGTGTTACTATATTTATCTGTTTTTGTTTAGGTGTATTGTAAACAAATGCAAACAATCTATAACACTGGAGTGAAAGATAATCATTACAAGCTTCATGTTGACGCATGCTAACCAACTATAATCTGACAGCTATTCTATCCCCAGCTGAACCTTTAGTTTATTTCTTGCTTGATTCATTTTTGTTTTATTGCAGACACAAATTTAATACAATCTTGTCTTTGTAAATTTGCAGTGAACATTCATTTTACAGCACATCTTTTCTGGTTGCTTATGTGATAAAGTGATGTAATTTATGTACTTCAGCTTTGCCACACTGTGTCCAAAAATACTGTTTAGAAACAGCACAAGCAGAAGAGATTTATAGTCTGCTGACTAACTCTGTAATATCCATTATATGGCAGGAGCTACATTAAAATTTGCAAAGCTTCTACAGTATTTCACAGTCCATAAGTGTTGAAACATGGTCAAAGATCACCTTCAACACTGTGAAATACTCAGCATCTGAAGCTCTAGGGATTTATTCATGAAGAAAACGGGAAATATCTCTTTAGTATAACATTACTCTCATTTTTCATCTTCTGCCTTATGCAAACCAATCAAGCGTAACCTGAGCTGCTTAAATGGCGGGGGGGGTGGGATCCTGTTGCTTCATGAGTAACATGGGCTGTGAGCCAGAGCTAATTCAAGTCCTTTTTATGCGCTAAACAAGCATGCAGACACACACACAAACTCCCAGAGGAGAAAGCGAAGATAACAGGATGAGGCTCAGTCTGGGTCAGCATTATTAGACAGGAGACCAACAGCCATCAAGTCACTTAACAAAGCAAACCTCCCTGACTCAGTGCAATGTGCATGAGGCACAAAAGCCCTGTAACCAGTAGCTTTCATTTTTCCATTTGAGATATCGTCAATACGTTATATTTCAAACCAAAAATTCATTACACTCTTCGCAAATGTTTTTTACTCAGAGCTCGAGCTTACTATGTGCAACCGTGTGTGTCTGTGTGCATGTGCTGTGAGACCGCAGTCTCTGCAAACTGTGGGGGGAAACGACCACAGACTGCACACACTGAAACCCACAGACTCCAGTCCACGATCCATCTCAACCTTCCCATTTATGTTTTCTCTCCCCCCTACCAAGCACCTAGAGGGACCACAGACTCCGCTTCCTTCATCCATCTACAAGAAACCTTTATCTTCCACCAGCATCCCTTCATCCATCCATCTCCCTCCTTTCTCATGACCTCCGTTATATGTGTTGTCCATCAGTCTTTGTCAGGCACTCAGCAACAGCACTTAAGGCTAAATTAGAAAAGTTTCCATTAAGAGACAACCTCTTTGATTGATTCATAGTCCTGCAGGATTAAAGACTAGACTAAAAACTATTATCCAGTCTGATACCTCTTATCCGAACCCCTGCACCCTCCTCAAGAGTGAAACGTCTAACCCATGGCTATTTTCACTTAATGCTAGTCCAGCTCCTTCCAACTCCTCCCTTTTCCAAACCTCAGACCACAGAGCTTTAATAGGAGGGTTAAGAGGTAATTCCTATCACACTGCCATCATTTAATATCTAACCAAGCCTGACAGAGAGGAAGGTTACGAACCCAAACCAGAAAGCCACCAGCAAACCTCCTTGTCTCCTCCTCCTTACTCTCCTGCTGTTACTCTCTCTGCAAGTCTCCCACCATCTGACTTTCTCTCTATCCCATAATTCTACCTACATTTCTTCCTCTTTTTGCCCTTCCCTCTTATACACACGCTCTCTTCTACATACCTTGGTGCTTACATTACCACCACTTCCTTAGAAAACACAGCGAGGATGGGAGAAAAAGCACTAAAAAAAGAGGAAAAGTGGAAAGAAAAAAAGTGCCGGAGGAAACTCCAGACACTGTAATTTAGATTGCGCTGATGGCAAAGTAGGGACATAAAGAACATGAGATTTATAATGTTAAGTTTGGAACACGTTCACCCTTTCCACTCTCCTGAGTTGTCTGAGAGCTCTATAGGGATCCATATTCGACCGGTGATAAATAATAGCTTTCGAGAGCAATTAGGGGTTTTATACAGTTGTAAGCCAGGAGGTGGAGGAAATAAGGCTGTCATTCACAAAGAAGAAGGGAAAAGGGTTGAAAAAAATGCCATGTGAAAATGTGCGTGTGATGGAATATTTGTATTCGTCTCCATTTGCATCTGTCACTGTGTGTGTCCCTGGCGTTTATGAGGACTTTTAACTGTGTGTGATCCTGGAAGCCACAGCTGACGTAGATGACAATTTAGCAGTCTACTCTGCCTCAGCAATATATCACACATCACCACAAAAATATGTCCGTCCAACAAAATATATCACGGTGAGAAACTAAGGAGCAAACGTTCTAATGATAAATAAGCATTGATTTAAGCTGAATAGGTAGCAGTATATTAATTAATACCTGTGTTAACAGTGGCAGAAGCCTGCAGTGGACAAAAGGCATGATGTACTGTGCACGTAATGTTTATTCCAGTCTTTCAGATTGTAAACAGCAAGTCAATCTCCTTATAAAGCTCAACTTTCAGGAATCCATTTTTGAGTATTAAATAGTTGCTGCCTGTAGGTTGATAGGTTGCTGCAAAAGCTTGTAACATTTCTCTGAGTCACAGCGGTTATGGAAGAAAGGGTTTGAACAGTGGACCAACAAATCAAAATGTCATAAAATGTCCACAGAAACTTTCCTGCAACACAATCCACTTCTCCAGTGCCAGCCCAAAATACTTTCAGCAAAGCTTTGGAAGTATGAGGATGTGAATGTATGCACTGGAAAAGTACATTTAATTTATTTTGTGGAAAAAAAAAATCTAATTTTTGACATTTCTTTGGACATGTTGATGTTGTGACACTGGAATGGCTCTGGCTCGCTGCTCAAATCCGCTTTAAGTGTTGCAAACCTAAGCTGACTATAGCTGTCATTCTCCGTGAAGGAGGGAGCTCAAAACCTTTCAATCAACATGTTAGTTCTCGCCAGTGAATTTGTAATTGTGGAGTAACCGGAGTATTCCTTTAATTTCTGCTTTTTGGTCAACCTACACTTCAAAAAGGTGAAAAAACATGGAACAAGAATCTTTTGAACAAGGAACTGTTACAGTAGCTTCCAATGGGTTCTGCCTCATGGAAACATTATAAAAGAGAATGAGAGAAGTGAGAAGATTAATGTCCTAGCGCTGGTATTTGTTATCCTAACACCTCTCACCATAGGCATGCACACACATGCTGAACACACATAAACTTGATATGTTGAAACGCAGCATCGATATGACACATGTAACACAAATAAATATCCAGTAGGGTGTACAAACTTATAGATGCACCCAATAATACTTATACACACAATTAAATTCAGGCATGCACCCACACACACACACACTCTAACTCCAAGTTCTCTTGAAAGAAGCCCAATGTAAACAGCTATAAAGTTTAGGTGTTTCAACCTTCAACCTAAGCTGACTATCCTCTCTGAGGATAAAACAAATAGAGAACCTGACAACCTGAGTGGAAAGAAAGAGCACAGATGGGGAGGCAGCATGGATGCACCAATGGGACTAAAACAAAGAGAGAGAGTATGTCTGGGAATGTGAGATGAAAACGAGAGAGGAGGAGGACAAGTGGGAGGCTTTGCTGCATCAGTATGACCTGCTCTTACACTCTTACACTCTGGGAAAACTCAATATTCCTGAATAAAAATTCCACACGAGTCCAAGCAAAACATTCACTGCAGGCACACTTTCACCTCTTAAAATCAAGCATACTCACACAAACGCACACATCTGACACTCACTGCCTTTTTCAACTCTCAACAGGAGCACAGAGCGGCACTGTGTCACCTGGCGCGAGACCTGAACCCTCAACCAGGATAAAACCTCTGACACCATGGTCGTGTTTTCAAACGGATCACGTAACACATCCAAAGCGGCACAAAAGGGGAAACGGAATGACGGAGGAGAGTCAGAGAGAGATCATGAATGGGGGGAAGATGAAAAAAAAAGAAAATCAAAGTGTACTCACAGTCGTCCTAGTTTGGGATTGGACTGGAAGAGAAGCTCTGGAAGAAACTGGAGCTTGTTTCTGTTCAGACGACTGCAGGGAGAAATAGAAGAAGGAAAATGAAGGAAAACATGTCGTTGGGAAGAGAAAAAGGGCAAAAACATCGTCTAATAAATCAGTCGCATCCATGCTTTTGTGTTGACTGAACAATCACCACACAGCTGACCGAATGACCTTAAAGGTCAGCAAGTTTAAACTCATGGAAAAGCCTCTGACTTCCTGTGATCATGGCCTAGAGGTTATCACACTATGGTTTGTGTATACAGGACATCAGTTTCTAGACTCCTTAAAGTGCATTAGCAATATATCCTCACTGCATATGCTTTAACCTGATAGTGTGAGATGGACCAATTTTGGGCTACAAGCATGTTTTAACATAAAGTTACAAACTTACAGAGGATTTATACCGCTGTGTTAAATCTACGCTAGGTGGGTACGTCAGAACTGCAAACTGCTCTGAAATCCTACAAACTTTTGTGTCCTGCACTATTGTGACTGGCCTGTTCAGTACCGTCAATTCCTCCTGTGCATTTCTGGCTACTTTTTAGCTGCAGTTTTTGAATTTATCAGTAAGAGAAATAACAGTCATTTTCTCAATATAAGGACTCACAGATGTTATAATATTTCTGGAGTGGGATTGCCAAAACTCATCCATCGGAATGGATGCGAGGGAATGCAAAGAAAATGAGACAAATATGTTTGCCTCTGAAAAAAACAAAAACATGACCGCAACAAAGAGTGGGGAGGCAAGAGGGGAAAGAAATCCTAGCATTTTATTCATTTTTATCGTGTCTGGCACCTCATATTAAACACCGGGATGCAACCACGAGGTAATTAAAATGCTATACATATTTGTTGAAAATATAATAAATGTGACCAAAGACTTGAACATATGCATTTACACAGAAACATTTACCTCCACAGAGATTTATGACCCCGGGAAAAGTAATAACAAGTAATAAAAACAAGTTAAAGGCACCCACATAATTATGACAATCTATAAGTGTTGCATACAGAATGTTTTTACATTCCAATTTTAACCACATCGTTGCTCATATGTTTGATTATTGCCACCTGTGGATGGTTTTATATTCTCGGCAATCTTTTGCAAAACTCTCTGATGCGTCTTCTCAACTATTGTGGGATGAAAATCTTTTTAGTCACGCTTTATATGCAAAATAGCATTCCTTATCTTAGTATTTTCATTGGAAAATTAGATAAACACATGACTTTAAATTACAAAGGCCAAAAAAAGTGGAAGAATTCAGGTTGGTGAACAGAAAGACAGCAGCAGAACGAGGCGTTTTAGGATAAAAGATGTTTCCTTGTGTATGCATGTGTGCAACGAAAGGTGGGGTTGGCTAAAGTAGAGATAACGAAGACAGTGAAAGCTGAGGGAGTGAAAGTGTTATCAGGCTACCAAAGCATTACACTGAGAAACGAGGCGTGGAAGGGAAAAGGGAAAGAAAAGAAGGGTGGAGGGTCGCAGGGTCACAAAGTAGGATCTGTGCTGGAGAAGACACAGACACCAACCTTTTAACCCTGTGATAATGATAATAAGATAGTGGCTTTCACTCCTGTGTACACCAATGGAAAGAACAATTGAGATGCACACCACCTGAAATAAATAAGGGAGAAAATACCTGCTAGTATGTGAGTACAGCACAGCTACTATTACAGCTACGAGTCATTAAAGGACATTTGCTCAGAGCACAGATATAGTTTCAAGAGAATAATTCTTTGTGTATTTTTAAGCATTAATGATGAGGTTTTCTTCCTACTTAGAACCTTTGAAATGACACCAAACCACATGTCTGTGGCATTCATATTTTGGCAAATTATTCCTATTACTCAGAATCACAGAAAAAATGAAAGAGTTTGGAGACTAAACCTTACTAATCATAATGAGCAGGGCTTTTTTTTCTCAAATAAAGAACAAAAGAGATCATTTGAAACGGCACCTCTTAACAAATGCCGTTTATTTTGCAAAATATCCTTCATTTATAACTGAGTGAAGCACAAATGGCTATGAATTCTTGCATTTCAGACTTTATGAATGCTCTGACCCAAGGGGATGACAAAATAAGCCCCATGTTTTTCACATTGTGACTCCATAAATCACATGGACTCAGCGTCAGGGCCTCTCACCCCTGACCTTTCACCCTGGCAGACACAACATCAGAGACCCTGTCAAGTAAGCATTTTAAAAACCATTTTACTATCAGTAAAGTAAAAAATGCAGGCTCTTGTTATTACCGTTAATCTACTGCAGCAGTTTTTCCCCTCTTTAGAAAGATTCATTTTGGAGAACAAATGTCATCCTCAAACAAGCATAGATATTTAATTTCTGATTTATTAAATGGGCTAAAATGGCATAAAAACATTTGTTGAAATGACTCGGATAACTGAAATGCTGTCTATGTGAGTTCTGGCAAACAACTGTTAAGACTCCCAACATCCTCCCTCCCCCTCTTCTGTAACCTCTCACCCTTCCTGACACACTGCATTAAAGAGCCTTTTAACATTAAAGTGGGCAGTGACCTTCTGCTTTCACATCATATGTGTGATCTCCATTTAGAGGGAAGATATACACGTCTCTGTCGCTCAGCATATCTGGATTTTAGGAGAGCTCTGCTGACAGCTGCAGTGATCTAACGGTTTTATCTCTCTTCTCCACTCTGCAGCATGTATACCGAAAAATACCATCCATGTGTGAAGTAAATTCCTTCCCATTCTTACTCTCATGAATGATTTTACAACAGACACACATTTGTTAATCAAAATAAACAATGTTGTGGCATTCTTTTCCAGACTGCAAAAGCAATTTGAAAGAAGATAATGACAAATTTACAGTGTTCAGATAAAATTGCATCGATGGTGAAATAAATTGAATGAAGAAATATTCAGCTTATGAATTCAACATTCATTACAAAGCCCGTTCTTGGGTTTAGAATTGCTGTACACAATATTTTTTTATGAGGATGCCCCTCCTAAAAAACCATCTAACACTCACATTGTGTCATTCGGTCTTTGTCTCACATAAAGGAATCGTCTTTCTGGAACCTGTCTTCCCATCATCACTCTAACCAGGACTCATAAACATGCAGGTGTGTATGTGTGGGAAGTGTTGTGTTGTACACTAGCACCCTGATTCTGTTTACTAAAGCCTTGGTGTGAGTTGACAGATACACACATTCCTAGGTAGTGTGTGAAGTGGACTTGGATATCAATCAGTTGAAATCTCTGTCAGTGAATATGCTGCACAGAACAGCAAGTAAGGAGCAGAAAATCAAAGGTGTGTACAATTTTGTCAAAGTGGAAAAACAGCAAAAAAGTTTTGTGACAGATCACATTATTATTATGGAGCTCTTTGCATGCATAAAATACCTATTTCACCTCGCAGTATGGTACCTCTTTTCACATATGCACTACAGGAAGCTGTGTATAATGGCATACTTACAGTCTCTCAAGCAGTCTTAGGTCTTGAAAGGCTCCTCTCTCGATAACAGTGATTTGGTTGTCCTCAAGATGACTGTGGCGACAGGCAATGAAACAGAAAGAAAATATGTTGTAGTTATTTTTGTAACTTTAAAAATGCAAAAGAAAGACACGCAAATATACTCCGTGGCTCTTTGTGATCACGACAAGGCAGGAAAAGTCCCAAGTGCCGATCTTTACGTCAGTAACTTTACACAGATTCATTCGGCCTGTCTTCAAAATGATTCAATTTAAATATCGAATTGTGAGGCACTCGTGGAATTGGGAATGTCCATCTCCAGCCAGAAACAGCAGATAAATGTGTTTTTCTGGCCAGTGCAAACAACTCGAGAGACACTTGCACTTTTAAAAAAGCGGTTACATAAACAAGCAATCAGTGCACTGAACACATGAATCTGGCACGAAACAAACATTTTGTGACACAAAGTATTTCACAAATGTTACAACCTACCACTCCAAAAGAAACAATTAACAAACCATCTCTTTCTCATTCTTCCGTTGATATCTTCTCCATTTCGCTTCAGTCATTTCTGCGGTGCTCTCAGTGTAACCCATATCTCCCCTTCATTGCTTTCTCAGTGTTGTCATGTTTTGGGGGCAAACTAAGGTTTTCCAGATGGGATAGAGAAATGGAGAGAAAACATCTCAACTGATATGTGTGTTTATATTTTCTGTCTGAGGATGTTAGGAGTGACATGTCCTGAGAGGAAGACAGGGAGGAAGAAGCTGAAGGGGGGGAAAAAGTGGATGATGTGAGGAAGAAAAGAAAACATTGAAAAGCAAAGGTGGAGAAAAGTGAAAGGAAGATACAAGCCAGATATAAACAGCACGATGTAGAATGACAAGCTGGATCAAGTGAGAGACAACCAAAGACAAAAGAAGTCATCTCAAAAAGAGTCCTGTCTGGCCTAACATGTGGACTTTGAATTGTTTTGGCACACCTCTTCTTAAATATTCTTTCAAACAAAACGTTTACATATCCAGGCATTAATCCATGGCCTGTCATACTGACTCTACACAGAGACACACAGATATGTTGGACTTGGATGAAAGATAACAAGCTCAGACAAACGCGCTCGCACATTCATATATATAAAGTATGTAAACATATAAATAAAAAAGTCAGAGCATCTTGAAACACTTTCAAAGAACTGGCGCACCGAGCGATGGTAATTGGCTTATTCTCACAATATTGTTCATTTTGTATAACGAAACATTTTCCAGGAAAAATAACTCTTGATTACAGGAAGCATTTTTTGCTTTATAAAAATGTTTTCCAAAAAAATCATCAGTAATATTTGCTGTTAACTGAAATAAATAAAAAATAGCTCCAGCTTTTGAGCATTCTGAATCAGTTTCTAAACAGAAACACCCCAAACACATACGATAAGGTATGTGTGGAATCGTTTAACGCAGGTAGGGAGTTATGCACTGGTAGCAAGAATTCCCAAACACACACATAAGCATGTGCACATTTCTGACTCCGGCATCAATCATAATTTACAATCAAGCCAAGATTAATCCAGCATGTTCATTCCAGCATAGCAGCGTTGTTGTTTTTTTGTTCCTGTCCTTATAGAAAAGCATTTCCTGTGTACTCCAGGGAAAGCTAAATCAAGGCATAACTCTGAATAACTATCAAAGTTTATTTGTCCAAATGAGAGATCAACCGCACGCTGATTTATTGAATGAAGTTTAGAAAGGCTGTGGATGTTAAGCCAAACACATGGTGCGGGGAGTCAATGCTGGCATATCGCTCAGATGAGGTATTGTTTTTATATTGGTCTGTATCAAGCATTAGTCATCCACAGAGACATTGGAGAAAGATGGGGGGGAAAGAGAGCAAACAAGAATTGAATTCATGTGTGTGGGGACTGGAGTGTCTAATAACTCTAACTTCAGTCAACGGTTATAAAAAGAACAATGATGTCACGCTACCTTACAGCAAACTGCGAGAACTCGGCCTCTGAAGGAAATAAGGAAATACTTCAGGGGATATTAACTTCACTTATTATTTACACACACAATGGGTGAAACCACACTGAATTTCCCCGGCCAAGCGTTCAATATCAAGTACAAGTTTTCACCTACATCTAAATTTGTTTGGAATTACTCAATTTCGCCACAATCTGGAAGAAATCTTGCAAAGTGAGGTTGCCAAAGATATTAGGCTAAGTGTTGTTCACGTAGCGTGCATGCAGAGGCAAGCTGTGTTGTGCAAATTTAAAGAATATCCAAAGCCCTGAATCAAATTCGATGTTTTCGCATGAACAGAAAACAATATTACATGTTTAATCAGAAAACAGCTCGCCGTGTGATCGATTGATTTGGAAGGTTTGAAGCGTCACAAATCAGTCTAATTACGAGATTTTCATTTTACGCACCCCGTGGTCTTTGGTGGTGCAAATGCAAAACCAGATCGCTTAGCTGTTTGGATGTTTTTAAACAGAAGTGAGATTACACGAAGGCAGACAAGTCATTCTGCAGGACAAATTATCAGTAATTACAGCTCAGATGTAAGCAGGGGTATTTAGGAGTTATACTGTTTTTTTCTGTAACCTAGCCTGGGAAAAATGTTAGCGGCTTTAAACAAGTTCTCCCATAGGAGGCACATATGGCTGAAATGACTGGACTCTCAGAACTAGGCACTTATGTTTGTATATGAGAGAGAATGAATGAGATAGAGTTCTGGTATATAACAGCGTTACCTATTAAAGCAAAGATAAGACAATTTTTGGTGACCATGTGTGCTGTAGGATCCAAAATACTAGAATATGTATGTCTCTGAAAGTGCGCTTTCTCCCGACCATCTCCTCTTTCCCAAGCCGTCTCCTCCCAATTTCTTTCAGAGATTTAGAGAAGAGAAATGTCACAGCAGTTTATCACAAACCACATGAAACGACTTGCTGGCTTGCCACACTCAGCTCACACACATATACACTGCCTTTTTCTGTGGGTCCCTCTCACAGTGTTTCATGCATGCAGAATGCAAACACTTACATTTTTAATTTTTCTGTTTTTTACCTAAAAAACTCAAGCACAGATGAATCCTGACCCAGTGACTGACATGCGTTCCAAACTCCACTTTGGTCCTATATTTAGGAATATGAATAAACAGATGCCAATACAAGCGCAAACACTCACATGTAGAAACTCGTTTCCATTCCTTAGCGGATTTGTACTGGGAGTGTATTTTTATCTGCTGGTTTGGTTAAAACAGAGTGTGGAGGGAAGCTGCATGCAGCCAGCGGTGATTATAGTTATTAAAGTTCTCACATACACACTGATTTTAGCCGCTTATGGAAAAGGAGTGAGGGAGCCCTTGAACTTAATTAGGACAGCTGAGAGAACGTGAGCAGTCAATCTCAACTAAGTGTAGTTATTCAGATGTCATAAGCCAAAAAGGTAAAAAATACAATATATACACTTTAAAGATTTTCATACGTTTCCCAACAAGGACCTGCTCAGTGTTTGGTAATTGTAATGGTGGCCAGAGTGATTTAGCTCCCTTTTTCCTGCCCCAGAAACAAGACCATTTCTGAACAGATAAAATATCAGAACGGTTGAAATCTCCAGTGATGCACATGAAATTGGTTCAGGCTGCACACCCCTAATGCTCTACAGGCAATCTTGTTTTTAGTCAGTGTGTACATAACAAAAAACTTCTGTTACATATGAGTGAGTATTGTTTTAAGACCAGCAGTATTTCTGAAGCACTTTTTGTGCTTCAGTTTAATAGATATGATTCAAATTCGCCTCTTTGCACATCTCTAAGCAATCATGCTACTGCTTTGAAATTTCAGATTTGGTTTTCCCAGAATTGCAAAAGTCAGCGTTCCCCAGCATTATTCAGAAAGACTTGAGAGTCTAATTTGAAATCTCTCTTTTTTTCATAGGAACAGTGACTAACTCTTTCAGTATGAGTTGCTTTACTTAGTTTCCCATCGTCGTATCCGTACCAGGTCAACATCTCGCTGTTGTGCTGCTTGTATAGTAAATGGAAGTCGTGCTGCTTGTTGCTGGCATGTCAGCTCACCATTACTCTATTATTTAACCTTGTAAATATCCAGTAATTGCAAAATCCAACTCCTTGGATAGTACACTTGCATGCTCTCTTGTTCTAAATGCCCTCATTAGGACGGGAAACTTTATTTTATAGAGACTTGTTTCCCCCTATAGCCATATACGGGCCCATTAGGTAAATATACCATTTGCTTAATTGCTACAGCATGGAACTTTTTTGTTAATGGGATTCCTTGTAAAGAAACAAATACAAGTCACAATTAGGTATTAAAGAGAGGACAGATTAAAAGACCTGATGGTACTGTATCTGGTAGATTCAACTTAATATTAGCCAACTTAGTACCTAAGAAGGAAAAAGTAAAGTGACTTAATGATGGCAACTATCTGGAAGTGCTGGTTCCTCGCATGCAGCACATATGAGGAGATAGTCAGCTTCAGAGGATTCTGCTAGAAAAAATTAGGTTAGTTTAAGCAAGCAGCTGCCTGGGTAGAGTATACAGAAGTCAGGATGCATAATTCCCAATGGCCCGCTCTAAGTTCACTAGACAATTACCTGCTCTGTTCTCGCATGGGTGCAATCAGACATTATACAGACTGTGTACAAAGGCACTGTTTAATGTGTAATCAGACATTTGTATTCTCACATACAGCTCAAAGAAGCAACATCAAGAAGATTTCAGCAGATAACTGCAATCTGAATTATACATTTTCATACATCCTGACTGATTTAAAATAAGTTAAAGTCCTCAAATAAACTGGAGGGAATGTGAGCAAAGCCTAATGTTTTACTGACTAAAAATTTGATTGAAAAAAGGAAAGAAACTTACAGAATCCTGAGGTTCTTGAGGCCAGAAAAGTCCACTTTAGTGATTCTGGTGATGTTGTTTTTATTCAAATCCCTAGAAAGAGAAAAACAGGATAAAAATGACTTATTCAGTCAAAAATACATTCAGTTGTGAGTATAATGTAACTTTAACACAACTGTGAAAGCAAACAAGCGCCCACCAAGTGGCAGAAGGACAGGGCATGAGAATGCTCCACAGCATATAGGCCCACACACATGCATACAAGTACAAACACAAGCAAACCAAGCACCGAGAAACTTCTGTTCTGATGCACAATTATTTACTGGAAAACAAATTTTTCAATTACATTTTTTTTCTCTTTCCATTGTCACAGTTTAAAAGCTTATCATGTTTCCTGACTGTCATTCAATTAGTTTTAACTACGGGCGCAAAATGTATACATACTGCAATATGAACTGACAGCCTGAGTGTGTGTGTGTGTGTGTGTGTGTGTGTGTGTGTGTGTGTGTGTGTGTGTAGACTGCTTCCCTTTATATGGGTTTGATGTTTATTGAAACGCTGTCGCACTGCAGGAATTAGGGCAAGGAAAAAAAACATACGCACACACAGAAAGAAAGGGCACACACAAACAACACACACACAATGTTCTCTCTTATTTCACACACAGAGCTCCTCCAAAGCTTTCACTCGCTCTCAGAACCATAGACACACACACACACAAACAGAACTAGGTTTTGCCAACGCAGGCAGCGTGTGTGTTTTTCATAATACACCTAAACATTTATAAATCTGATTTAAGACGATATTAGGTTTCAAAAGGCTTCCTCAAGCTGACATAGCAAGGGCCACTAATAAGAGCCATTCCCCAGCTTGTGACAGGGAGGGTTGCTATAGGCCAGACCAGTCCTCCAAAGCGCAAAATGGGGTCCTTGGTCCAACAGGGTGTTCTTGAAAGGGCTCCAGAGTAATGAATAACTACAATATCTCATATGCAGCAGTGGGATGTCACAAAAATGACTGATCCAACCCGGCACGTCAGATGAAGTATAGAAAAGCTGGCTTAAATCATAAGCAACAAGAAATGAGATCCCTGTCACGTACTTGTGTTTACATTCAAAAATATGAAACACTGAAAAGGGTTTGAATGTGAATATTTTATCCAAACAATAGATCAGATGGCAATATCGCACATGATCACACAAGGTTTTCACACAACAACTTCAAATATTTTCCACAGATATTCTTTCTCATAAGTGGCACACAGCAGGAAAATGTCCATTCATACTACTAGAAAAGGGGTTTGTGTGGTTTGGGCAGGGGAGCGTTTCTAATGAAAAGTTAAAAACTCTGCAGAGAATAGTAGAAACTCTCAACTCAGTGGATTTGATTTACAATGTTTCAGTTCATTCTCACCCCTGCCCTCCGCCTCTTTTCCAGACACGCCTTTTTTCCCCACAATAATGTGTTAATAAAACACGTCAACACTTAATGGCATAAAATGAAAGTAGATGTTTAGGTGATGAATGCTTAAGAACATTTAGCACAGAAACAACCAAACTGTTTCACTCAGGTGTTGGTGAAGTCCAAAATGTTACTGCGGCAATGCTGTTCATGACTACTGGAACAAAACGACCACCACATGATCAGGAAAACAAGTAATAAACAATAGTTTTGTGGGACGATATAACACTGCATGTTTAAAATAGATTTTAAATCGATCATCGTCTGTCAGATGCCCAGGGGTTTGGAAGCAACTGCTATTTTATTCACAACGTCTCTGGTTTGAGTGCAGCCCACATTTCTAGCTGAAGTTAACTTTTGCTTTCCGACAATAAACTGGCATGTTGAGAAATGAGCTTGACATAAACATCCTCTGCTTAGGTATAACACTTTTGCATTAATATATAGCTCACTAAAGCAATGAACCGAGAAAGACAAAGAAAGCAGAATGAAGTTTCACGTTGATGCCGAGTCTCATCCATCTTAATGTTTCATGTGAGACATTCGAGACACCAGATAACATTTTGACAGTGAGCTGCTTCACTATCCAGACTATAAGCTGCTGGTTCTTGTCACAAGCTTTCCAAGTGTTTGGCTTTGCCAGTTCCTTGAAATGCAAGGCACTGACAATTACTTGATAAGCCTTCTTGGGGTTTGATTTATTAATTTGAACATGAGGAAAGAGTTGATTTGCTTCAGAAATAAACTGTTTTTCTTGTTCATGTTTGTTACTCTACCACACTTATAGTCTGGCTGTACAGAAGGTAAGAGGTTTTCACCCTACCCCTGCGAAGATATTGACTGCACATCATTGGAAGCGGATGACATAAGTATCTGACAAATGTTTACTGGTTGACAAGTGGGCTGGAATAGAGAAGAGGGTAACAGTGAGGTTCACTGGGAATGGGAGGCTGGCTGATGGACCAACAACAGCACAAGTAAGAGTAGCCTACAGACTGGGTGTACCACATGCTTTTTACACTGCCTCCAGATGGGCATCCCCTGAGTGGAAAGGACAGCAAATGCACTACCACTGCTTGACCATAAATCTGGCTGTACCCTCTGCTATCTCCCCTTATCTTTCAGACAGTAAGATAAGACCAGCCTAAGTGACAAGTGGCATGGGTTGATGGACCACACTAGCTGCCACTTTCCTGTCACCTGAGAACAGGAAACCGTGACTAAAATTCTCACACGGGTTAATCTTATTCTACTAATGGTTCGGACTGCTGATGGTTGTGTAATGACATGGGAGTAATGTGCTTGACCATTCCTGTCCCTCCCTTTATGATCCATCTCTGATGGCTGATTCCAGCATGTCAAACAGGTGCACCAAACATGTTCTTGTCAGTAAAACTGTTTTTCTCTTGAATCATCTCAAACTAATTTCTTGAACATGACATTAAGTTGACCGTACACAAATGGACTCCACACTCACCCGCACCTTGTTGAATGCATGGCATGAAGAGCAAAGGCAGCTCGGAAGGCAAAAAGAGATCCACCACCATAATGAAAAAGCGTACCTAATGAAGTGTTTAGTGGATGTGTAGCTTACCCTTGGTTACAATCTTTCAGTTTTCTATTTACGCTCCATCCTCCTCCTCATCTATCTCAAATCTCTCTTTGATCATTGCTCTCTAATGTCCGTCTGTCAGTCTCTCACAGCCAGCTTTACCCAGCGTTCCCAGCCTTACTCTCCACTTTTCTTCTTCTCAGTAATCTCCCTCTCGTCTCTCCCTGTCTCGATCTTTCACGTCTTATCTTTCACTGTTTCACAGTTGACTAAACACTTTTTCTTCACCTTCATCTGTTTTTCCTCTCCATCCCTAATCTCTCCTCTTTTATCTCAATCTCTCACTGTTTTACACTTGGCTACAATTTTCCTACCCTTATTTTCTTTTTTCTCTCTCTCTAATCTCTCAAACCTTATCTCCATCTTTCTTATGTTCACAGTGGAAACTTCTGCTCTTACTAAGGAGATTGCTTTGCAGTTAAGCAATTATTGAGTATACAGTTCCAGGTACAGCACAATGGCAGAATCCCATCAAACCTCGCTGCCTAAAAACTGTGGAGTCTACACCGCTGCCATAAAAACACACAGACAAGTGGCATGAAATTAAATGAAAATCTTGGATGCACAGCACACTGCTTGGCAGTGATGTCATCGGAAAAAGCTGTCAAAAAAAGCACAGCATTGTTAGGAGGTAAGAAAACCAGTCATACCTAGCATAATATAAATAAACAACAACTCCCTCTTTTATAAAAGAATTCTGTTCATTATAACTAAATGGTGCTACTGGTACACTTCAGAAATAATAAATAAAATGCACTACCCACAGTATTTTTACATGAGTTAGTAAATCTATTCACTTAACTCCTTGGAATAAGTAAATGTGTGCACAGAGAACTCATTACGAGCAAAGCAAAGACAGCTGATGAGGCTGCCATTCTCATGCACCTGGTCTGTTAAAGCTTAGGTGTACAGCCCACCTGGCAGTAAAGCTTAACTTAGCATCAAATGTTAACTGACCAGCATTCAGACTACTAATGAAATACGTTAGCACAAAAGCCCTAACCGTTGTTTCCATTACAGGCAGAAGTAAGCCGTGCAAGCATGTGTGTGTTTGCGACTAGGGGATAAGACAAGAATGCAAACAGCAGGTGTCCAGGGAATTAATATCCCATTCAACAAAGACATGCACACACAGGCAGAGGCAGCCCCCACCACATCTCACTCTAGACCACTGAGAAGTGAACTTTGCAGTCTGGCTGCCTTAGAGTGACACACGGGGTTGACTTTACGGTGACAAATGCATAGTGTGTGTGAGGTGGAGGTGGCAGCAGGACTGATTTGCCTTCAGGACAATATTATTGGTTGGCTACACCATTGGCAAGAGAGAGAACTTTTAGAAAGGAATGTTAAACGATAAATATCAAAAATACTAATAAATGAAAAACACGCCACTGTGGTAAAAGATTATCAGAGTTCAGTGTTGAGCTTAAATGTTTTGACATGTCTGCTTGTTGGCTAATTAGCTGTGCTTCTTTTTCTCACCTTGACCCTGTATCTCTGTCTGTCTGGTTTTTGTTTTCTTGAACTCTGTCCTCTTTTTCCCCTCTATCAGGGACAATAGGGAATAAAGATAAAGCACTGAAGTTTCCTCTCTCTGTTTTATCAGTCTCGGACACTGTGACATTTCCTCTTTCCCCTTTTTTCCTCTCCCTTCATTCTTTCACTCACTTTCATCCTTTGTTGACCTCTATCCCACACCTCATTTCCAAATGCATTCACTTCCTGTGCTAATCTCATGTTATTTTCCAAAAGCTCTTCACTTTCTCATTCCTCCATTTTTACTCTCCGTCCTTCTCACTCATAGATAGATGTGCTCAATTTCATTCTCTAAATCTACCACTTACACAAGGAATCCTAATTGCTCTCTTCCTTTTCCTCTAAGCTCTGTGCTCGCCAGGTGTCATGCTGCTTTGAAATTGGCTCTGCTATAGCTGAAATCCATCCACTGCAAATGTTTAGATATTACATTTGGCCAATGCAAACTAAGGCAGCTTTAAGTGCTCTCTTCTGCTCTCACTTT